AACGGAGCCCGAAATCCTGAACCCTAAACCCTGTAGACCCTAGACCCTGCAAGCCCGAAACTTCCTAAATTCCCCTACCCCCGAACGAAGGACCCTGGGGTGGTGTTGGGGGAGGGGGGTGTTTGGGGGCTCTGAACTGTCGATGCAGCGTGCCCGGGCGTCCGTGTTTATGGCTCGGTTTTCTTGGAGAACTGGCCATCGTGCTTTCTTTGGGCCGAGTTTTTTTAAGGTTTTTGGTCTCTACTGCCAGATACCTTGGGATGTTCCCCCTTATACTAACAGTCCTTCATAAGGAATGTGCTAGAATCCCTCTTAAGGACTGCTACAATAAGGAACATCCCAATCCATAGCCCCTGAAAGTTTAAGAAGCCCTAGAATTGTTCAGAGCAACCCCCCAGAACCTTCGCCCCTTTGCTCTTGGGAATGAGTCTTGGGGTAGTTGCGTGTCTCTTCGTATGGGCCCTTTCCTTGGGGGCCCATACTTCATTCGGAACCCTTTAAAGGGGGTAAGGGACCATAACAAGGCACCATGTAGCCACCCTTCAAGTTAAAAAGTCGTGAGACTGCTTGTCTCCTAGGGTATTTAGTGGGGGAGGGGCCAAAATCCGGAGCCTCTTCTGTGGCGACCGCCATGCCGTCATAAGGATTTTCAAGAGATTTGGGGCTCAAGGTTGCAGAAAAGCGTGGGAGTCAAACTCTTCTTCAGATTCAAGGGCTTCTTGTCTTGCCCTCTCCGGGTATACTGCCGGGTACAATGTGCCCAAATGATTGCATAAATCATTCTGTTGAAAGGGTGAGATTTGTTGATGTTTTAACGGTACTATTCTTTGATTGGGGAAGGTGTAGAGTGCAGATAGCCAAGTCCTCATGGACTTTCCTGGGCTCCAGTTCCTTCGTGCATGGCTCGATCCAAAGGCCGCGGGCCACGAATCATGGCCAGACCCAAACCCCGTCATGCAATTTCGGGACTGAGCGGTTTTAGGACTGAGGGTTCTTCATGGTTCAAGAACAAAAACATCCCACAGCGGGGGTTCCCTTCAAAGGGGGCTTAGGTTTTGGGTTTCGGGCTTGCCGCCGACTAGTGAGAAACCGCCGAAAACAAATGTGACACGGCAAGGTCGAGGGCGCCATGCCGGTGCGAGTAGCTGCTGAGGCAAGGCTTGTCGCTTTGGGGTTGAAGCTCCTAATCAGCTCAAACAACTGGCAACTTTCATCTTACATATACTTTGAGCTCCCTAGCCAGGCACGGAAAGTCAGGCCCGCCTTCAGGGGGCCTCCAGGGGGCCTGCCGGCAAAACAAGTTCATTCACCAGGGTGTTGGCGTTTAGGTTTGAAGAACCTGTGTACCCTTACCGAGAAGAAGTGTGCTTGCCTTAGATATTGAGACCCTATCCCCGAAACCCCAAACCCTACACCCTTGTTTCGTTTAGGGTGTCAGGATTTAGGGTCTAGGGTTCAGGGACAAGCTTACCCAGGGTTTCAGGACGCCTTGCAGCGGACTACTCGGCGAAGAACAACCGGAGCCTGTGTGGTTGTCGGCCAGTGGGCTTTCTGACCATTTCAGGGGGGCCCGAAACCCTAAAGCGTAAACCCAAAACCTTAGAACTGGTCCATTAAATCAGCAGCTGCCGCTTCGGGGCCCTGTCCGCCACCGGATGTTCGGCGTTTACGGCGTCGTTTGGCTCAGGGTCTAGGGTTTAGGGGTTGTGTTTTTAGGCTTCAAAGGTTTAAGGGTTGAAGGGCCTAGGCTTTTTTGAGGCTTAAAGAGTTAAGGCTTGAAGGTTTAAGGTTTAGGGCTTAGGAGTTCCCAGAGACTCCAATACCCCTTGAGGAATATTCCTTCAAGTATCAGAGGGGTTCCTTATATGGTTTAAGGAATATTCCTTAATTAAGGGGTATTGGAGCCATTGGGTAAAGGCTTTGAGGTGCGAAATCCCCTTACTCGGAGGTTCGTGGCTACTTCTAAGTCGGGATATAAGTAGAGTAATTAACTATGGCTATAGCCCTTATCTAGGGGACTTCTAAGCCTACTTATAAGCACCCGAATGAACCTAAAACCTTCTTTAGGGGACTTATAAGCACCCGAACCAACCTTCAAGTAGAGCCTCCGGCCTTGAGGGCAGCCACGGACCGCAGCTGCGCCATGGTTAGGAGCTGCGGAGCTCGACCCCCGTGGCTCCTTGCCTGCTCGCCTTGAGGGAGGTTTTGGGGTTTGGGGTTTAGGGTTTGAGGGTTTAGGGTTTAGGGTTACGGGTTTAGGGTTTAAAGCTTACAAGTTCAGGAGCTCTCGGATACCCCTGAAACCATACAACAGTACACCCCAAACGCGCAGCTACACTATACCCTAGCCTTTTATCTGTCTATACACCCATGCACACTAACAACACATATACATACCTTATTTCGCCTTACCTTACCTTCCCTTCTCTTCCCTTCCCTTACATACTTGCGTACATACGTACACAGATCCAGATGCACACGCATAGTCAGACTACAGAAGAGAAAAAAGGGCACCTGAAAGCACTAGGGTTTAGGGTTGTGGGTAAGTTTAGGGTTTAGGATAAGTTTAGGGTTTAGGGTTTAGAGTAAGTTTAGGGTTTAGGGTAAGTTTAGGGTTTAGGGAACCTCCTGAACCAGACCTGCGTGCGGCGGAGCGGCACGCAGTGACGGCCAGGCTACAAGTGTCCATGTCCATGACCTCCTCGCCTGAAGCAGTTCACTTGGCGTCCTTGTGGTTTAGGGTTTTTGGGGCTTAGGATTTAGGGTCTTTAGGGTTTAGGGTTTAGGATTTAGGGTTTAGGGTTGGGCGGAAGAAGCAAGATGGATGAGCTGCAACTGCATGGGTGTTGCCTATCAGCTCCTCTCAACAGTATCCTGAGCCCCTTAAGCCCTAAGCCCTAAGTCCTAAACCCTAAACCCTAAGCCCGCCCCTCAAGCTGCCAGAAGACGTGCAGATTCCGTCAGCACTCGCAGCGCATGCGCCCAGGCTAGACCTTGGCTCATGGTCGAGCGGGGAACGGCAAGAATAAATTCCTTTCGGGGATAGGGTTTAGGGTTTAGGGCCAGTTTAGGGGTTGTAGAGTTATCAAAACATACTTGGACCTCTTATTCTACTGTCTGTCCTGGAGTGCTTAATTCTCTGCTGATATTTTTTTCCACCCATAAAGTTCGATGCACACAAGTAAAGGAACTAGAATGAGGATGTCGGGTCTACCCGCACCCGGTTTGGGGGTTTAGGGCTTGGAGGCTGCCACACTGCATCCGACTTAAGAACCTCAATCAACCCCGAGCCTGCTTAGGGCGTTCAAAGTTGGATAGACTTGGTTTAGGGTTTAGGGTTTAGGGTTTAGGGTGTAGGGTTGAGGGTGTAGGGTTTCGGGTTTGTACTCACTCCCCCCTCCCTCCCAGGCAGAGTTGTCCACAGACCACGTCATTTCAGGATGTGCCCGTGAAGTAAAAGCAAGCTACGGGGGGCCATGATCACAAACTTGAATGTGCACTTTGTACATACAAGCAAAAGGTTAGGGTTTAGGGTATAGGGTCTAGGTTTAGGGTTTCGGCTCTCGCTGACGCACACGGCTGGCACTTTGTTACCATTGTTTGCTTAAGAACCACCCAGGCAAAAAGCGATGTTCTTCCTTATAGTGAACCGTCAGGTAACAGCCGGTACCAGGCACCCTAAGCCACCGGCTTGCCGTGAAGGCCCTGAGACAGGCGCTGAGAGTGACGAGATCTGGTTGCAAGCCTCGGAGCGTCTAGGGTTTAGGGTTTAGGCTTTAGGTTTGGGGTTTAGGGTTTGGGGTTTAGGGTTTGGGGTTGAGGGTTTAGGGTTTGGGGTTTAGCGTTTAGGGTTTGGGGTTTGGGGTTTAGGTTTTAGGGTTTGGGGTCTAGGGTGTAGGGGTTAAGGTTTGGGTTTTGGGGTTTGGGGTTTAGGGTTTGTTGAGGGTTTTGGTCTTGAGGTTGCTGGCTTTTTGGATTCGAGGGTTCTGCAGCCTTTTTGTCAGCGACCAGCATGCAACCCAGAGCTACAAAATCCTGGGTGCCCGAGCTTTCTGGTTTCCCCTACTGACCCCCCTCTATACTACCCCCCCCCCCCCGTAGGTTCCGTCCAAAATTAAGGCGATTTAGGGATAACTAGGCCGCTTAATTAAGGTTATTTCACGGGGAATTTAGGGGGGGGGGGGGTATTGGGGGGTTGTATAGAGAAGGGTAGTAAGGAAACCCATGAAAGCACCAAGCAGGCTTCTGTGTCAAAACCCAGGCCGTAGGCATTGTGCCGAGTAGCCTTCGGATGCCATTTGCTTTGTGAGTGCCAACACCAAACGCCATCGGCCACCTGCAAGGGCCATAGCTGAGGTAACCTATCCCGTTACCCGCAAGCCCTAAGCCCTTTTGAGCCCTAAACCCTAAACCCCAACCCGAAATCCTAAACCCTAAGCGCGCAACCGTAGTCCGTTAACCGTAAGCCCTAAGCGCTTATAAGCTCTCAAGTCTGCAGTGGGGTTTAAACAAACAAAACGGGCCCTTGGCTTCATCAATGCGGCAGACGCGTTTGGGGGACTTGCAGCACCTTTATAACTTCACTGGAAGCAACGTCCACTGCTCTTAGAATGAATGAGATCCTGCCCACTGAGACCGAAACCCACAAACCCCAAACCCCAAACCCTGAACCCTGAAAACCGTGCACCCTAAACCCTACACCCTAAACACTAAACCCCAAACCCCAACCCTCGTCAGCTCTAGACCCTGTAGCTCCCAGGCCGCTTTTCTGACATCCGCTGGGCTCGTTTGGAAGCCAGGCCCAAGTCGCCGGCTGCTGTGCAGCTCCAGGAAGGCGGCCCCGCAGTTCCTCCACCACGGCGCGAAGTCCGGCAAGGTCTGCCAGGATCTTGGCCTTCGTCATGGCACCAAGGCCACCGATCTCCTCCAGAATTTTGGCCTCCCATCTCTGCCGCGGATCCCGGATCTTCTTGCTGTTGGCCTTCTTCCAGAACTGGCTTGAGCTGACGCATGTGCAGGGCTCCTCTACGACCGTTTCCAGGTTGGAGTTTTTTGACAAGGAGAAGAAGCCAAAGAAAATGCACCAAACTGGGAAAAATACGGGTTGGGGTACGGGTTGGGGTAAGCATACAGATGTACACCAAAAAGTCTACACATGCATATATATATATATATATACGTATGTATGTATGTATGCACTATCAGGGTGTATGCAGTACTCACTCAAACAGCACTACATATCTGAATACTCATGAAGAGGGCATGACGTGTCATAAAGCTGATGGTCCCAGGCTTGTTCCCCGAAGTAAAAGAGGCAACATGTATGGCAAAGGACACACTCATGTATGGAACTGACCATGCAACCGCGTACATGCATATGCGTACCTACATGTCCAATCAGCCACGAGTAGGTCCACCCGAACTTCAAGTTCCAGGCGGACGACAATCAAGTTCGGTGCCGAAAAGGCAAAGAGTGCCGAGCTAGCTCCAGAAGAGTACTAGGGTTTCGGGTTTATATAGCCTAGAAGAACCCTAAACCCTAAACCCTAAACCCTAAACCCCAAACCCCAAACCCTAAACCCCTACACCTGAACATAGTGTTCATCCTTGAGCTTCACGGAAGAGTCCGTTGGGTCTCACCCCGCCTTTCTCACAAGCACTGATGGCGGCATTGTAGCACACCTAAGCTCGCCAAAATGGTAAAAGGGGACCTTTCGAGCGTACATTTGGGGGGTTTCCGAAATTCGAGGTACCTTGTTAGGGTCGTATAAGGGAATCAGGTAGCTTATTGGGGTCCTGATTATGAGGGACTGCTACTATTTGGAGTCTATACTAGGGATCCCTTGTTTTCATAAAGCCCCATGTAAGGCAATACATGAGCTAATTCAATGTTTTCAGGACAGGGTGCATTATTTCACAAATCCTGAGCCCCTAACCCTATACCCTAAACCCCAAGCCCGTATAAGCAGAGGAGCCAGGGACATCTGCAGGGCGTCGTCGCGCAAGGTGCGGACCAAGCCCAGGGCAGACTGCCAGATTCCACCTGGGATGAATTGGGGTTCTGTCATGGTCATGGGGTTTTACGGAGTTTTGGGGTTTAGGCGAGGGGGGGGGGGGGGGTTGGGGTCTATGTGCCCTTCATGTTAAACCCTGAACCCCATATAACCCTATGTAACCGCAAGTCCCAAACCAAAGCCCGCAAACCCCAAACCCAAACCCTAAACCGTTAAACCCCTAAACCTTAAACTCTAAACCCCGAACTGCACCGAATGGTCAAGGGAACCTTTCTAGCTTCGGAATTTTCTGAGAACACGCTGCGTGACTGTTGACATTTGGGTTTCGGGTTTAGGGCTTAGGGACTTCCTTGGAAGGTTCTTCGTTACAAAGATGTAAGGATACAAGCACCCTGAATAAGGTTATAACCATAGATACCGTACCTTCTAAGCCTTCTGGTAAGTAGCCAAGAACCTGCAAGTAGACTTCAGGCACCGTGGATCCCAAGCCCTAAACCCTAAACCTCTTCCCCAAACCTGCATAGCTTCGAGCTGCGCTTCTCGCAGGCGCTGATGGCTGCGCTGTAGCAGATCACATTGGGCGGCACACCTGGCTTTTGGGGCTTAGGGTGTATAGGGTTTAGAGTTTAGAGTTTAGGGTTTCGGGCGCTTCGAGAACTTAATCGATAAAAGTTGAGACGGAATGATCACGGTTTGCATCACCTTAAACGCCCTGAGGCCTCGCTAGCCCTTCAACTCCAAACCCAACGGGGATTTCGGAAATGAGGGGTACCTTATTGGGGTCCTTATTTCAAGGGAATCCAATAGTGTTCGGGGATCTATATTTGGGGTCCCCTATTTTCGTAAACCCCCATAGGCTTTCGGGCTCACCGACCATGCCGAGTTTTGACCAGGTTAGAGTTTAGTTTTCCGCTGTTTTTGGGCATAGATCTGTCGAGTTCTTTCCGAAGGGTCTGCATGCTTCGTGGGTTTACAAGAGTTACTTGGGTCGCATAACCCGAAATTTCGACATGTTGGGTCTTGACCCGTATTCCATCCGCTCCTTAGTCAATTTGTTTTGCGGAACTCATAGGCTGAGTGGTGCGTTCCTGAGGTCGTACATATAGTTTCGGACCTGGGCCCGGGCCCTCAAAAGACTTAAGGCAGTTTGCTCCGCAAAGCCTTGAAATTCAATTTGGATCTTAAACCCTGAGCCCTTCGGACATCTGTGGAACTGAGCAAGGCAAGTCCGCTGTCCAATCTTTGCCTAAAGACGCAATCTGACACACGAAAGTCCAGAGCGAAGCCTGTCGCAACCTGCCCAGATCCTGCCGCGAAGACAATGCACAAGTTTAGGTTTCAAACTTTCAACGCATCCTTCCCCCTTCTTGTGCAGAAGCACGGAACCCCCTCAACCTGCAAGACCTGAAATTCTGAGAAGCATGCCTCCTCCTCCACTCCCCCTCCCCCCCGAATCCTCCAGCAACCCAACTCCAAGTGCAAGAAC